AGCCTTTGTCCTAATCATTTTTACTTTTCCTTCTCCTTGTCCTGTTCTTCCAACTCCCTCATCCTAGTTTTTCTTCGTATCTCTGGAAAGTCTGTCTTTATTTCCTACTTCTATTTTTAAAAATTTTGTTCTTTAAAGCATTTATAGTTTGGACTTCTCATATAAGAGAAACCAGGTAACGTTTAACGTGTGTCTGATTTATTTCACCCAGCAGTATGGTCTCAAGTACATCCATTTCCCTACAAAGAACTCAAGTTTATCTTCTTTTATGGCCGAGTGTCCATTGTGTATAAACACCACATTTTCTTTATCCAGTCTTCTGTTTATGGGCATGTAGGCAGCTTCCAAGATTTACCTCTTAGGAATTGTGCTGCTATGAAAATGGCTGTTCTTTTAACACTGTAACATAATGTCTTTAAGTCTTTTAGGAAGATAGAGAAAGGACAGCTTGGCCAAATGGAATTCCTATTTTTAGTTTTTTGATGTATCTGCATACTGATTTCCGGAATGGTTGCACTAGTTTATGTTCCCACTAGCAATGTAAAGGGGTTCTTTTTCTTCCACAATTTCAACAGCATTTGTTGTTCTTTCGGTTCTTGACGGTAAGATGAAATCTCAGCATTGCTTCCATTTGCATTTCTCTAGTGACCAAATATGCTAACATTTCTTCATATTCTTATAGGCTTTAGTACTTCTTTTGAGAAGTAGTGTTTACTGATTTTTGAATGTTCATTTTTTTATTGGGTTGTTCACTTTTTGAGGTCTAATTTTTCACTTTCTTTATACATTCTAGATAGGTGTAGCTGACAAAATTTTTTGCTCATTCTGCAGCTTGTCTGTTCACTCTTGTTTTCTTTGCTGTGCAGAAGCTTTTAAATTTGATACAACCTCATTTGTTGACTTTTTTGGTATTCTTTATTGTGCCTATGCCTCTGATTCCAAGAGTATTATCTATTTCATCTTCTTCCAGATTCAGTGTTCCTGTTTTAAAATATAGGTGACTGATCCATTTTGGTTTTATTTTAGTATAGAGTGAGAGATATGGGTCTAGGTTTTTTCTTATAAATACAAATAATCAGTGTCCCCAGCACCATTTGTTTGAGATGCTATCTTTTCCTGCCACTTTGCTAAATTTATGAGTTCTAAGTGTTTTCTTCTGGCATTGTTGGGTCTTCTATATAAAGGCTTATGTCATCTGAGAATATGAATAGTTTCACTTTTTTCCCTATGTGTGCCCCCTTTTTTTTTCTTTCTCTTGTCTGATTGCTTTTGCTAAAGTTTCAAGCTCTTTTTTTTTTTCTTCTTCCGGTACCAGGAATCGAACTCACGACCTTGTGCTTGCCAGGCAGGCGCTTTGCCACTGAGCTAAATCCCCAGCCCCCAAGCTCTATCTTTAACAGGAGTAGTAAGAATGGACAGCCTTGTCTTAGTCCTGATTTTAGAGGCCATACTTCAGCTTCTCCCCATTTAGTACAATGCTGGCAGTGTGTTGGTCATAAGTGGCTTTATTAGTTTGCTGTGCAGTCCTTCTATACCAATTTTCATCTTGTCAAGATCTTTTTCTACATCTACTGAGATGATCATGCAATTTTTATCCTTGCTTCTGTTTATGAGATGTAATATGATTATTGATTTACACATGTTAAATTATCCTTGCATCTCTGGAATGAAGCCCACTTTTTAGTGATGTATGAACTTTTTAATGATTTGGTGTATTCTGTTTGTAAGTATCTTATTGAGGACTTTTGAATCTGTTCATTAAGAAGATTGGCTTGTAGTTTTATTTGTTTATGAGGCTTTTTTTTTCAATTTTTTAGTACATGTTTCCAGCACATAGTGATTGGAATATACCTTTTCAAACTAGTTTCTTATAATCCTCTGGATTTCAGCAGTATCCATTGTGATTTCACCTTTTTCCTTTCTAAATGCATTGATATAGTCTTTTCTTTTGGTAACTTTGGTTAAGTGTTTATTGATCTTATTCTTTTGAAGAAACAACTGTTTGATCTATTGATCCTTTGTATTGTTTTCTTAATTTTATTCTTAATTTCACTGATTCTTCTTCTGACCTTTATAATTCTTTACTTCTACTAGTTTTGAATTTGAATTGTTCTTGTTTTTCAGGCCCTTGATATGAGTCACTACATTATTTACTTGGGATTACCCTATTCTTTAAATGTGAACACTCACAGCAGTAAATGTCCAATAGATTTTGGTATGTTGTGCTTCCATTAAGAATTTGATTCTAGCAACTTTTTCTTTCTTCCTTAATTTCTTCTGTAATCAGTTGATTATTTGAGAGTGTATTACTTAATCTCCATGTGTTTGAATAGTTTCTATGGTATCTTTTGCTGTTGATTTCTACTGTGATCCAGTAATGTACAAGGGATAATTGTAGTTCTTTGCTATTTATTGAAGCAGCTCTATAGCCTAATATATGGTCTATTTTGGAAAATATTTGTGTTTTTTTAAGAAAAATTAGTATTCTGTTTTTGGATAACACATATTTCTTAAGTCCATTTGTTCTCTGGTATAGATTAACTGTAATATTTCACACACTAAATTCTCTGTCCAGTTGCTTGTAGTACTCTGTTCAGCCAGTGAGTTCAGTGGCACACAGTTTGGCAGGGTGGCATACTTCTGCTTGGGATTTCAGTAGCTTCTGGGAGCCAGTAAGCAGGAGTTTACGTGGGCCCCTAGCTGAATGAGTAATCAGATAGACCCTGGATAAGGTTGATGCTCTGTGGCACTTGGAGGGCAAGGCTGGGAACAGGGCACTTCTCAGGTGCAGAACTTGGCAGTGATTGTGTTTGCCCTGGGAGTGCGCCCACTCTTTTGATGCACCATGGTCCCATTTTGCCTCTGGATCACACTGGTCATAGCTGCTACCTCTCCTCCTTGGTTCCAGCTTCCCCAGGATTGGGCCCTGGTTTCTTTCTGTCTATAAGACTCACCGGTCTTCACTCAACCTCCTCTCTGATTTTTCTGGAGCACACCTTCTTTAGTGCTCTAATTTGAAGGGGTCCTCTCTGGTGAGTATCTTTCTCACCTCAGCTCCATCTTCCAGTGTGAAGACAGCTATGACAAGTACTGGGACTTGACTTCTCAGCTGGGCCCAGAATGCTGCAGTCCTGCTGCCACTATTGTACTCAGACTAGGCCCTGTGGGATGTGAACACTTTCCCAAGATGGTATTATTGCTTGTCCCTATCTACAAGCAGTGCCATGTCTGAGAGCTGTGCAACTGCTAATCTGGGTGTTACATGCAGGGACCACAAAACTCAGCCTCCTTCCTCACAGGTATAGAGACTCCTTCAAGATAGATGTGTAAGCAGTGCTAGGCTCATGACCTGCCCACGTGTTCATCTGGGTGCTGCTCACAGCAGCCCTGCTGCCTCCACCTCTGCTGCACCAGAGTTCTTCCTCAAGGGATTAGATAGTGTCCCAAAAGTGATCACTCACCAGCCCTGAATTATAATTAGTGCTGAGATCAGAGCTGCTTAACTGGCTGGGTGCTGTGTGTACCAGCCATGCCTCTGTCTTACAACGTTTCTTGCCTTGGGGAGTACACTCTCAAGGTGGTGTTTTAATCATCTTGAGATGGGTTAACACATGCCAGGACTGAAAACCTTTTCAACTTTTTGGCCGCACTTGTAAATTGCATCCCAGCCACTGCTGCTGTACTCAGATACTTTCACAAGGTGACATTTTCACCAGTTCTGAACTGCAAGCAGTGCTAGGGTTGAGTGCCTCCCTTGCTTCTGTATTTAGTTACCCTTGGTGCTAGAAATGGTATAGAGAGTGTTTTCAATAATTGGCTTTCTAATATTAGGGTCTTCTGTTCACCTGGTTTACAAGTACCTGTGGGTCCTGACAAGTATCCTCTGAGAATCTCATGTGCTCTGTCAGCTCTAATCTGCCATGGTGGGTCTTCTCATGCACTCCCTGTTTTAAATTGTATGTATTAGTGTTAAGACAGAGATAGTCTTCTACCTGACATCTTGTTTTATGATGAAACACTGGCATTATTTCCATTAAATTTAAAAAGACAAGCATGTTTTCTACCACATCATCAATTCTACGTTTTTGCACCTAGGAAATGAGACGCAGTGTCATGGTAATTAAATCTGTGTCATTGTGTTTAGAAAAAAAAGACACGAAAGAGCCATTTTCTCACATATCATTGTGTTTCTGAGTGAAAGTTGCTGATGCAGTGGAAAGGGTCATATGCGGATCTGTCCAACATAAGCACTCTTTTAAAGACTGTATAAAGATCCACACATATTTCTTCTAAAAGCACTGTGGTTTTGCAAGGCTTCCACACAGTCACAGATGTCTGTGACAAAGTTTATAGTTCACATTCTTCAAGACAGCAACAAATGAGATAAGATGTTTTCCATGGAACATTCACCCAGGTAAGCTCATTCACCGGAAAGCTGTGGCCAACTCCAGTCTCAGTCTTTCAACACCAGTGACCTTTGTGTATAACTAGTTTACAAATGATTTTTCCTTTTTCCTTTCAAAACTTACCCTTGAATCAATCACCTTGAACAGGCCCACAGTTTACTTTGGGATGCATATTCTTATAGCAATGTTCTGTTACTGCCAAAGTACCATAATTATTTGTTGGAGCATCTATCACTAATTTTATTTTAGGTTAACATCCTTGACTATCTGGAAAAAATAAGTTAGAAGCTATTTGAAAAACAAATCAATAAACTGACCAGCTAGATTAAATCTCAACTTACAAAAAAAGATTAACAAAATTTCCTTAGCTGTCTAGAAAAAATTTTTAAAAATCTATTCACAGGGGCTGGGAATTTAGCTCAGCGGCAAAGCGCCTGCCTGGCAAGCGCAAGGTCGTGAGTTCGGTTCCCGGTACCGGA